TAAAACTTCCGCTGGAGGAAGGGATCTCACAATTACAAATTATTTTAAAACATTTTAAAATTACATCCTAGAAAATGTCAACCATCACTTCACATTCTAATGCCTGTGATTCTTTAACAGGAAATTGTCTTCAGCTTTGTGTCATATTCCATCGACAGTGAAGTTGAGAAGGATGGGGGAGTTAACACAAACAGCCGCCTAAGGCCTAAGGCCGGCCCGTGCTGTGGAGAGCGACAGCCGCGGTCCCAACCAGTGCCCACATGGCTAGGGTCAAGTGGCATATAGGAGTCTCTACACCTCGTACTTTCTTCTGAGTTCAGACTGACCAGTCCCCTGACTTATCATAGTTTTATTACACAGTTTTATTTTTGTTCCATGCATCGTGACCTAAATATTGGGCAAACTCTTTGTCATAGAGCACACTAATATTAAGTATCTTATTAATTCCATTTTTCAATCCTAGCATATTGTAGATGCTTAAAGTATATTCCCTGTATTAAATATGCAACTTAAAATCCCTGATGTCATTCATAAGCAAGTACTATTGTGTGCTAACAAGTTTCTTTAATTGGAGGACCAAAGGCAGGTTTCTCTTTATCCCTGGCTTAAAATGCTCCCAAACACTTCCTTCATGATTAGCAGCTTTAACACCATGGGTAACTGGTCTTCTGTCTAGGAGTGTTCAGTATAGAATTAAGAGCACCGGTTTTGGAGTCAGACGAATCTCGCTTTGAATCTTAGCTCTGACATATAAGATACAAAAGAATTTGGGGGATTTCTTAACCTCTCTGAAATTCATTTTCCTCACTTATATGGGATCATTTAATCATCTACTTCATAGAGCTGTTTTGCATATTAAATACACAGTTTCTTGTACATAGCGAACATTACGTAAGGTTGGCTTTGGCTCTGTTTTCTGACCACAGTATCGTATCATTCTATGGTATTATCATGAGAGGTAGTCAGTGGCTTAAAAGCATCTCCTAGAAACATCTATTTCTTTGCCTTTGAAAACCACTTTTTCTTACATGGTTTGCCATCCTCCAGGAGGCCAGGCCTGCCTTCTCACTCAGAAGGTTTGTCCACAAGCAATTAGAGAGAGCTAGCCCCAGTCCACAAGTAATTTTCCAGCTTCTGTTAGGTCACATTTGCTAATGTCCCATTGGCCAAAGCAAGTCACATGACCGAGCCCAGAGACAAGAAGAGGAAATGGGCTCCCATCTCCTTATGAGGGAGGCTGCCAAACATCATGGCCTTTCCACCCCTCCCCTATCCAAGTCTACCACAAATACTAAGCAATAAATAGATTCCTGTGATCTTGCAAAAGAAAGTCTTCTTTATTTTGATAATAAAGCTATGCTTAAATAAGCACTTGATAATTTCTAAGCCTGAGACGTGGTTTAAATAGATATTCTTATTTTCATTCACATAACTTATATTTAGAGAGTCCATATGCAATGTCTGAGGGTACGTAATGAATCGACTTGGAATAGATTTATGACTGAAGTAACGGTTCTTCCTGTTTACCAGACTTGGCTTATTAAAACTAGTCCCTTTTAAAATTTGTGACAATTTGGTACCATTATTTTGTTTTTCATTATGACCCAGAGGTCGTTTATTTCCTGGTGGGCTTGGTCCTTTTGCTTAATTCTCAAGACATAATAATCCATTTACAAAACAGAAGACATCCTTCTCTTGGAACTTTGTAATCTAACTATAGCCTCTGTTGTTGTCTTTGTCTTTTTGAAAGCATTGTAACTCATGCTTTTCAATAGCCATGTTGTGAGAGGGTAGACTGCTTGTCGAGTGGATAAATAAGTTCCTGTAGTTACTAGTAAGTGTGTCCCTGTCAATACCGCTAACTTGCTGCCACCACTGCCCTAGACTAGAAATTGGGATAAATAGCAGCCCAATAAAATGCATGCCTACTTACAAGATCAAGATCAAGGTTCTATGCTAGAGCTACATAGCAATGACCCACGGTGGTTCCGTAATTGTGTTTGGAAACCATGCAATTTAAACTAAAATTCAAGATACCTCCATTCGTGCTCTTCCACTGTTGTTATTTTTTAATTTTTTTGGTTGACAAGATTAAAAATAATGTTTATTTTGTATTACACTTTATAACTTTCACATACTTCATTCAAATATCACAAAAGACTGTGGCTTATAATAAAATTCTATTATAAAATCTCTATCTAATTATAGAAGAGAAAACTGACGTTGAAAAGATAGGTTACTTTCCTAAGATCATGGAGCCCAAAGAGAACATACACCCCACCTGCCCACCCTCATTTTTCTGACTCAGTGCCTATGCTTTCTTCATTTTCATATTGACTCAGTTTACCTTTGCAAAGTGATAGAGAGCTGCTGCCTTCATTCTGTTCTTGAATACTATTTATTTTGGATTTAACTATATATTGAATTATACTGTTATTTAACTGTTTCACAAATTCTTATTTTCTTAATAGTACAGTAAACTTTTTCTAAGACACTACACTCCCCACCCAGTGGATTCTCCCACATTACCCTCCATCCTCTTGAGAACTTAGAAGGCCGGCAGCAATTCTTGTAGAACCAACTTGTTGCTAAGAATGACTGAAGGTGAGACCAGCAGGCTGCCATGGGAGAGAGAAGGGTGTTTTATTGCCTCATGTAGTTGCCTCTTTAATGGAAGCAGCTGTCGATACCAGGCTGCCCACAGAAACCCTCAGGTCTGTTTTCTCCCCTTCTGTTTAGGCTTCCCCAAAGTACCGCTCACATCCTGCATTTGTCCACAATAATTTGGCCCCACATGGTAGGTTTAAAATAGCTCACTATGCACCACAGTAAGACATCTGAGGTGTGCTGTGGGGACCCTTTGCCAAGTGGAAGATCCGTGAAGGTCAGTCCCTCCCCAGGCCAATAGCGAAGGCATAGGTAGTTTCTGATAGTTGCAGGAGAGAACACAGTGATCAGCAGTATGCCATCCCCTCTCTCCTCAACTCCCCTCCTCACCATGAGGGCCACATGCTTCTCCTCAGCTCAGCACCCCGGTTGTACATTCTATTTTGAGATCACCTAGTCTTCAATTTTGTTAACCCATGTGATGTGTCACATGTTTTGTTCTCCTAGGTTGGCAAATCTCCATTGTTTTTCACTGAAACTTATTTTTGCATGGTCAGGAAATGTCAGCATTTCACCATTCTTCTCATCTTATTCTTACCATTTCCTTTCAAGCCCCACTAACGCTGCTGTAAGCAGCTCGCCTTTTGCAGGTGTTCATTCTTTTATTCATGTTTTCTCACAGGCATTTTGCCTGGTGCCGGGTGTGTTACAAAGAGCAAAAGCAGGCACCATTCCTGTGTTTACAGTTATTATGGGCTGATGGGGAAGAGAGAGTTTGATCAAATGGTCAGAGGGATAAATGTGGAAAGGTGCCACAAAGGGAGAGACACGTGATGATCCACGAGGCTTAAACCAAGTGAGACAGATCAGGGAGCTTTGCTGGGGAAGGGACTCTGGAACAGAGACCTGAAGGCAGAGGAGGGCTTACAATCCATGGAGAAGAGAGTCGAGTAAAAGAGCAATTATGACTTATCTCCGTACCAAGACCAATATGGTGCAAGTGTTAAATGTAGGGAGTAGATAAGATAAAGCCATGAGGGGTGAGGTGGGGACTTGACATGGCCTGAGAGAATTAGGGAAGACATCCTAAGGAGGTCATATAAAGTCAGTAGGAATAATGAATAAAAATTATGTGAAGACGAGAAAGGGGAAAATATTCCATGGAAGACCACAGAAGGGCATGACGCCGTAGACACTGAAGTGAGGCTGAGCAGCCCAAGATGGAAGGGGACAGACAGGGACACAGCATGGGCACCCTTTCAGGTAAAGGTCATATAGCAATCTACATGCAGAGATCACTGTTGCTACCTCTGCATCTAAAACAACTCTCCTGGGATGGAATTTTTTTCCACCAATCTCTAAAATAAAATACTGGTTTATGGTCCAACTAATGTGTACATATCAAAATCAAATTATGGGAGAGCACATGCGCACTCCCGACGGTAATGCTAGGGCTCCCTAAAGTGGCCCAAGGTGATGGACTCCAAATTGAAATTCAGAATGAATGAGACTTGAATATCAGGAAACTTAGTCTGTAGGAGAGTTAGCCCTTTTCACGTCCATGGCACTACCACATTCCTCCTTTCTTTTTATGTTTAGTTTCCTGAAAGTGAGATGAGTACTCCTGTTTTGTGAACTTCCTCAGATCTAGGGAACTACCCTCGCTCCCTTTCCCATCTGACTTTCATCATCTTCAGTCAGTTACTTCAATAAAAGTAGGCTTCAAAGAAAATGAACCTAACAAATTTTAAATCTCAGAGACTGTATTTTTTTTTTCCTTTCCCCAATCTTTCCTCTACCAGATATGATCAGTGGTAGGTACTCAGTGGACATAGTTCCCGGAAGCCGAGAGTGAATTTTATCTCAATGGTCTGTCTACCTTGATCTTTTCCAGGTCAAAGGATGCAATTTCTTTTTCTAGCAGGTTGTATGCTATGCCTGTTTGCTGTACAAAGAGAAGACCCTCTTAGATTGCCAATTTGTTGTCTTATAATTTTTTTCCTTGTAGTCAAGAGAGAAAGTCAAGTTATATAATAATATGTGTTTACAACCACAGAAGGAAAAAAAATATGTATGTATGTATGGATTTATTTATTTATTTATTTGACAGACACACAACGAGTGAGGGAACACAAGCAGGGAGAGTGGGAGTGGGAGAGGGAGAAGCAGGCTCTCTGCTGAGCAGGGAGCCCGAAGTGGGGCTCAATCCTAAGACCCTGGGATTGTGATCCCAGCCAAAGGCAGATGCTTAATGACTGAGCCACCCAGGCACCCCCAAAAGAAAAAAACTTAAGAAAGAATTTATTACATAGTTGATATGGATGGTGATAAAAAAACAAAATCCAACTAAGGACAACAGATTTTCATGACAGAATATTTTTATTCTAATACAGGATGAAGAGGAGGAAATCAAACAAGAAATTAACATGTTGAAGAAATATTCTCATCACCGGAATATTGCTACTTACTATGGTGCTTTTATCAAAAAGAACCCACCAGGCATGGATGACCAACTTTGGGTATGTAGTGCGATCCAGATTTGCTTTTTACATGAAGAACAACCAGGGCCAAATGGTTCGTTCGTCTATCCTCACATTGGATTAATTAACTACTTCTTTGAAGCTCTTAGCCCCATGATTTCCATAACATTGTGTTTTCAAGGTTTTTCCCATTTCCCTATATACCTCTCCAACTTTTAAGCATCTTTTTTTTTTTTAAGATTTTATTTATTTATTTAGAGACAGAGAGAGTGAGTGCATGTGTGGGCAAGCTGGGGAGGGACAGAAGGAGAAGGAGAGAGAGACTCTCAGGCAGACTCTATGCTGTGTGTGGAGTCTGACACGGGGCTTGATCTTGTGACCCTGAGATCATGACCTGAGCCGAAACCATGGGTTAGACATCTAACAGACTGAGCCTCCTAAGTGCCCCTCCATCTTTAAGTATCTTTATCCTTTATCCCTTAATGTAGACCATAACTAGAGCAAGTTGTTAAGTTCTCTGGTTTTTCCACTAGTTAGTACATTTATTGAGTTTTAATTATATTTTAGGCATCATGCTATTCGCTTTTTATGTATTATATCATTTATTCCAGCTCTTTGAGGGAGACATTTTTATTTCCTCATTTCTTAGATGACAAAACTTAGGTGTACAAAGATGGTAAGTAAATTGCCCTAAGGTCTTTGTAGCTAGAAATGGCAGAGCCATGATCTAACCAAGCTCTGGGAGTCTTTTTCCTTGCCTATCACTAATGTGTGGATGACTGAAATTTAAATTCCAGTTCTGTGAGTGAAATACCTAAGACAGTGTGATACTGTGTAAGTACTCTCATAGGTTGCTTTCCTTTCCCATTAGCTGTGTGTCCCAGTCCTGTATTTTTGACAGTCTGCCCCTCTGAAAGTAGATTCAGTACATCTGATACCAAAATCACTGCTCCCCTCCTTGCCCTGCACAGATTGCTTTTCTTCTCATCTTCCTGATTACTGTCCATGGAACTTTTACTCACTCTTAGTCCCTCAGGCTAGTGGGCCCATTCAGTGGAAGCCTAGATTTTGCTGTATACTTCTACTTGATCTATCCGTCTCTCTCTATCTTGAATCTCTATTCGTCCCATATGTTGCTGTGGGATTAATTACTTTAAAAATATCCTTTTAACCACTTATCCTCTTATTCATTTTCCAGAGTTCTTAATATGTGTCTGACACACAAAATTTATTTAATTAGACAGAGCTTACTATATGCCAAATTATATATTAAATTGTGTGGATCCCATGACTACTATTTCATGGATAATTTATTGAAGAATCTCAGTCTACTCTCTTAATGCAAAAGATATTTGTGGTCCAGCTGAGAAGATAAAACATACACAGCAAATAGAGTTAGTGACCAAAAGGAATATAATAATGTTAGCTCAGAAAAATAACAAGATTTTCATGTCATTTGATAATTGAATATTACAATCTTTGGAAGTGAAAAGAGCTGCTGGTTATTTTTTCCCCGATAAGTCCTGTCTTTAAATTTAGAATTAAAAAAGTATTTTTGGGTAAATAAACCCTTTTTGTATGATCACCTTTATTTTATATATTCTTATGTGATTTCTGAAATAGTTAGAGTAAGATTTTAATCATGCCCTCTTAAATATAGGTGTAAATGTGAAAATTAAAAATGTAATAGTAGTAGGAAAAATAGTTGTAACTGTAAAATACTAAAGAAAGATATATGAGGGCATATATGCAAGGGCATATCCACAAAACAGAATTTTGATGAACTTGCCCATATACATTTCTTAAAGTTACCCATTACAAAAATAATAATAATAATAATAATAAACAAAATAAAAATGCAGATAACTGATTTAGGAAAAACATCCATTTGGTATATGATGAGACAGAATTTAGTAGCCTTTAGAGATGGAGAATTTTTATAAATCAATAGTAAAATATGAGACTAAGAGAAAGATTGAGTTAAGAACAAGACAACGATCAACAAAGTAAGAAATATCAATTATCTATAAAGATGTTCTCAAAATGGAATCATACCAAGAACATAAATGCAAAAGAAAACAAGAATTAAATATTATTTCTTAACTTGTAGATTGGCAATGATTTTTTTTTTAAATGATATACACAGAATGGACACTTAGACCCCCTGCTTATGGAAATGGAGATTGAAGGTTGGTACTCTCTTTACTCAAGGACAATTTGGAATACCTGTGGATAAACACACAGATATAAAAGAATGTATCCTAAATAAATATTTGGGCAACTACATCAAGATGTATGTAGAAGTTAACCAATAGGTAATTGCTTAAAGTAAGTCCGTTGAAGGACACTATGAAAGGACATATCAGCCGGTTAAAATGCTGTAGATTTATATTTATAATGGATAAACAATTAACTATTATAATGGGTATTTTTTTTAAAGATTTTATTTATTTGACAGAGAGAGAGATCACAAGTAGAGAGAGAGAGAGAGAGAGAGAGAGAGGGAGGAGGCAGGCTCCCTGCCTAGCAGAGAGCCTGATGTGGGACTTGATCCCAGAACCCTGAGATTAGGACCTGAGCTGAAGGCAGAGGCTTAACCCACTATCCACCCAGGCAGCCCTATAATGGGTATTTTTAATCCATTTAAAAAATGCTGTGATTAGATAAGACACATTTTCATTTTTGTGAAAAAATGGAAGAAAAGGGAAAAAATGTATCTGCCCACCTATATATATAAATGGTGGGTTGTCTAGAATAATACATACCAATGGTGTTGAAGATATTTTTTATCTTGGTAGTCATTTCAGTAATTTAATTTTTGAGAATTTTTTTCTTTTTTATGTCTACTTTTTTTTCTTCTAAACTTTCTTTTAACTTGAACATGAGAGCCATTTCTCTTCCTTCTTTTTTTATTTATTTCTCTTGGGGCTATCTTTATTCCTCATAGACAGTCAGCTCCCTGAGGACGAGGATGGTGTGATTTGCATCTCAGTGTCCTCAGTGCTAGGAAGGTGCTAGGTGTACCATGACCAGAAAATAGTTGGTCTGTAAAGGAAAGTAATCATCATTTCTGCAAACTTGGTTGCTAATAGTATTGGTACGAAGCAGATTTCTACCGGTACTTGGAAAGCTCAGTTTACCTGTGGCCTCTGGGTTCAACAGAAATGATGAGATGATGCAATTTGGAATATCTCTGTGTTCCTTAAAGGACTTCTACATCATCAAGAATCTAGCTTTTTAGCAGTGACCCCATATTGCCATAAGTTTCAGCAGGTAACAAGTGGAGAATGATAGCTATTGGAGCCCTCTCAGGAGAGACATGTTTGGTTTGGTCAGGGGCATGGTTCCCAGGGAAAAGAAAGCATAAATGTGGCTCTGGAGCCATCACCTTCAGGAATCACCTGCAGGAATACAAGCTGAGTCACACCCCACTAGTAATATTTCTTTCATGAGATGGGCCCAATAGGATGTTGTCGGTTTTCTTGTGAGAGTGAATTGTTAAAACCTCCGTATTTATTTGGAAATCATTGGTTGAAGGGAAGAAAGGAGTGGTCAAACAGGGATTGACTGGTTTTTACCCTTTTCCTGAGGCTGTGATTTTTTAAGTTGGAAAGAAAATTAGTTGTCCTTTCATTTGCTGGGTCCCCATGAAGTACATTGACTTTCCCAGGGCCTCAAAGCTCATTAGTGGATGAATGCAGGCGTCCTGAATTGTGATGGTTTAGCTTGGCCTGAAGTGCTGGGAAAGGCCCTGGAAGTTTGTTTTATGTTTTTTTTTAAATAAGCGAAACCTGCAGTCCATTTTCCAGCTGGCACTGGGAGAAAGCAACATGCCGATTTACATCTGCATGGAGCGAATGGGAGATTTTTACCCCTGGGACCTGTTGCTACCCGCCAGTTCTCACCTTGGCCAGTTGCTCCTTCCATGAAGACAGCGGTGGCTGTTGGGAATCCAGAGTCTCCATGAGTATATGTTCATTTATTCATTCACCATCCACCCATTCATTCATCCCACAAACATATAGCGAGCGCTTGTTAGCACAAGGCACTCTTCTGAGCACTTAGGCTCTATCAGTGAACAACGTCGGAGGAAGCCCCTACTTACATGTAGCTTATCCTCCTACTACAGACAATGTACATAATTAGTAAGAAAACTGCAGAAGATGCTGCCGCTGACCAGTAGAGCACGGGAAGGTCGATAGGGTTGCAGGCAGGGGGTAGCCCCATAGTAGATAACTCACAGAAGGGCCTTCCAAACTGGGTGTTTTCTGAGAATAACAATGGGAGTGATATGACCAGAAACATGGGGAGATGAGACATGGGGCCAGATCACGCAGGGCCTTCCAGACCATGGGAAAGATGTCTGCTTTGCCAACTTCAAGAAGGGGACATCTGCAAGTAGTGATCCCTCCCAAACCCAGGCCCCGCGAGAGGACCCAGGCCTTCACATTCCATTTTCCCACCTACGATTAAACATTACGGGCCTCATGTTCTGCTTGGAAGACAGAGGACCTAGCGTTTATCAGTTGGTGCTCCTGCAGAGGACTGGTCTGTCCATTCCCGTGTTAGCTTCTGTGTCACTGGAGATGAAAATACAAAGCCATGAAATGCCCCCGAGGGCAAGAGCATCTTCTTTTTCTAGTTGTGCTCTTACTATTTGACAACAAACTAAGGGAGATCTTGGAAAAGTCAAGGCAGAATAGAAACATAATAATTAGGAAATCAATACCAGATTACAATATTGGTGGAAACTTGATTATAGGATATGGTAGTGTGTAGTTATTCCAAGGCCTCTGACTCACTAAATTCGAGCCATTCCAGGTTAAGAATAACAGTAGCAGGTAATATTTATTGCTTGCTTATCACATGCCAAGTTTTTGTGCTTTTGCATTGTCATATCATCAGACATTTACAGCCACTCTACGAATTAGATAGTATCATTATTTCCACTTTACAGACAAGGAAATTTGGCTCAGAGAAGTTAGGAAATCTGCCCAGGGTCTCCCAGCTGGTGGGGGATAAAGCCAGTGGGTTAGCCA